TTTTTATTTATTATTTTTTTTATAATGGGCTTAGGCTATAGTCTTCATAAGCAAGCATTAAAACCTCCAACTCAGTTTCACCGAAGTATCGTATGTAGCTCGCTTTTCTTCTCCCTTGGTTTCCATGGTGACTCCTGAAATCGGCGATCCATTGAAAATGTCTTTATGTACTCGTCGTGCGCGCGCATTAACTCTGGGTTACCAATAGGAGGTTGATTAAACTAACTCAACATAGGTGTTTTGGAACCGACATACCCAGAGTAAGCAAGTTTGGGGTTAACCAACCAAGAGTTCAAGGTTTATCTGACGGTAAGTTAACCTTGCTTTCTGGAATACACCCCAGAAAGGCAGCGTGAAATAAACAAACCAGACCTCAGATTCACATTCGCTTTATCTACCGCCGTAAATGGCAGGCAATACTCCTCTTCATTACATAAGGATCATGTTGTGGTTTTCTGTTTTATACCTTTCTAAACCAACACAGTACAGACTTTGCTGCATCTCATCCATTCTGCTTTTCTCTTCCTGACCTCCATCTGAATTTTGCGCGTCATCAGAATTAGAGTTCTCAACGGGTCGGGTCGGCCCGACAAACCCGACGGGACCCGCGGGTTCGGGCCGAAAATATTTGCAAATGACTCGGGTCGGGTCGGACCTCGGGCTTAATCTTTTGAATTGTACAGTGAAAAAAAAAAGTATTATTCATCGCTGCTGTTCACTGTAAAGAAAGTCTGGCTGCTGCGTGCAACGTGCATCGCGACGCGAGGGCAGACCTGACGCCGCTGCGTGCACGCCTTTAGCCCGGAGAAGAAGATGGAGTTGGTGAAAAATAAAATTGCCACAGGTGAAATCACCGTCGTTTAGGGGTGGCGCCAGATAATTTTTAACGCAGGTGCTGAGGGGGTGCTAGAACATTGACAGGGGGAGCTGCGCAATTATATATATATATATATATATACACACACACTATTATCAGGGCTCGAATTTCGGTGCGGGATTGCGGGTATTGCGCATAATTCTAATCATTCCCGCAGGTCTCCCATTTATAATGCGGGAAATTCCCGCAATCGTAATCCACACAGATTATAAAATCAAATCATTATTTTAACGACTATCTGCCAGACGCAATTTGACATATGGCGCTTTTCCACTGCATGGTACGGTTCGACTCGGCGCGGAACGGTTCGCTTTAGCTCGGTTGCTTTTCCACCGCAGTTAGTACTCCTTCAAAGTGGGTGGGACTGATCTTTTTTTTTTTATGTCCCTACACTGTTTGTAGGTCCGGTGATAGCGGTGTGCGGCTAAGAGCTGAGCTACTTCTTGGAACACTTTTTCATTCCGTTTTGCCCCATCCGCTCCTCGGCAACCAACGAGAGGAACGTCTGCACCTCGTCCACTGACCACGATTCAGCCATTTCTTTTTTAAAGTTTTTATGTCTTTTTTTCCAAGAAAGTAAAAAACAGATGCTACCCCGTTGGCTGTTGTCTACTGGTTATTTAAATCTAGCGGGTTTAGTGTCTCGTGTCACGATTCTGTCTGACCAATCAGTGATCTGCAGTGTTTTTACGTCACATTTTAGTACCGGTACGGTACACTTGGAACCTCAACAGACCAGGTACCATTTAAAGCAAGCCGAAGCGAGCCGTACCGTACCGTACTATGCAGTGGAAAAGCACCACAAGTGAGCCGTACCGAACCGAACCGTACTATGCAGTGGAAAAGCGCCAAAACAGCGTGAGTGTTCAGCGGTGCCGCGTCTTCTATCTCTTCTCTCATAATGTGTTGTGCAAGGCAAGCATCAAGCGCTATACACACTATAATAGCCTATACACACTCGCGTTTAGGAGTCGGGACATGACGGATATTCACTTGCACAATCGGGCCAGCAGTGCATCGTGACTGAAGTATTTTTAAGTCTTACCAGTTTAAACATTCAAGCGATTTTAAACTAATCAGTGCTCGCGCGCTCTCTGAGAGATTCTTTTCTATGCGCAAATTCATAGAAACATGATGCGCACATTTTTCGCGGATTATATTGCGGTCTTCGTGAGTATACTTTAAACATAGTCCGTTTTGTCTTTAATAAGCATAAAACGCATGCCAGTATAATGAACACAGGATCCGTGCACTAGCTCTTAAAGTGACGGCAGCCATATGTGTGTGTCATTAATTTTGTTGTCAAAACAACAAAAGATGGCTTTAAGTTAAAGGAATCAGGATTAATAGCCTATGTATTTAATGTATTCAGGACTAAAGAATAAAGTAATCAAATGGAAAATAACACTGGGTAGTATTTTAGTGACTATTTTGTAGTATTGTAGTTATTTTCCATTTGATAACTTTATTCAGTTTCTGTACTAGTGTTAGACCTATTCAAAAACTTTTCTCTTTATTTGTATCTTTATTCTATTGTATTTATTTGTAATACTTTTTTCAATTTAATTAAACAATTTAAATCAAGCTTCCTTGTGTTGTGTAAATTTACAACCCCATTGTAAAAATGCAATGAGCGCAAACATTTAGGCAAGATAAATGTAATAATTTTGTTTGGAAAAAAAATGCTTTTCCTTTCTCCCCCTCAAAAAAAAAAAAATCCCCCCCATGAGAATCATCTAAGGGGGGATTTCCCCCCCCCCCATTTTCCAAAACGAAATTCAGGCCCTGATTATTTAAATGAGCAAAATTTATGATGAGATGTGCTCCAGTTCACGTGCAATGCAATCGCGCCCGCGCCTCCTATATCATGATCATTATTGTCTGCAATATTTGCTTCTTATTTATTATAGGCAATTGGTTGATGAAAAATTTATTAAAATTAAGATACAATTTATACAAAACGAAATTCACTTTAAAATTATCCAAAAAAACATATTTGATAAAATACATAACCAGCCAGTGTTCAAAACTATCTTATTGCCTTAGCTCGATACAAAACGGAAAGCTTGTAATAATGTTTTTAATTTTAGTGGTACTGGTGGATTTCCGCGGGAGATTCGAGCATGTCTTTGCGTCATTACGTCACATCTGTACACATAAAGAAGGAGTCTCGGCTAGTATAAGCTATATTGCGTGTGAGGATGTTGGAGGTAGAGATTTATAGCCTTTTCTCACAGCACTTGATATAATTAAACTTATCAATTTGATGGCGGATCCAGAAAGGTTCAAACGACGATCATCATCAGTGACAACTAGAGACTCATCCGCTGTAAAATGCAAAAGACTTCGTTCGGACTTCGGAGTGACTACAGAAAAAAAGAGACTGCAACCGGACCCATGCGAAAACAAGGATAATATCGGAAGGACATTACATGTAGTCACGCAATGCTTGCTGACGTTGTTAACATTAACAATTAGAGAACATAGTATAGCTACTTTGCACGGTTTTGCGTGAAATGATAACTTATAAGCAATTGTTAGATTTAATCAGCGCGATTTACTGCAATGTCAGAACCAGAACAAAAGTGAATGTTTCTTACTAGTTCAGATGACATTTCCCGGTGAAAATTCTTATGTTGGTCATACTTCCAAAAAGAATAATCTGTGATTCTGAATGACAATATCCACATCGGCGCGGTGACTGACAGCTGCACACTCTCCTCAAACACTGTGTTCATCCGCGCGGTGCCGTGTCGAGGGTGTTGAACTACAACCCACGTAAAGTTGATAATTCCGCGAATGACTGCAATTGCAGATTTCGAACAGAGATGGCGACAAAGAGGAAAAATGCCAGACTGCAGCTTTAAAGAAAGGCTTTCTACAAAACAAAACTTAATTTAGTGGTCAAAATCATGTCTGACCCATCATATCTTCCGATATATTGCGCATCTTACTCATGCTGTTCAATTTTCATAATCAGCATAGATGTAAAAGAAACAACAACATTATAATATTTAAAAAAAAATGAAACTAAATGCGCTTATTTAATGGCAACAACACATAGTGGGCCTATATACAGACTATCTAAATATTGAAATTAACATTAACAATGCTGTAGAAGTGCAGTTTATTAATAGTAAATGTTAACTAATCTAATTAAGTGTTACCGATTTTTTTATACACAGTGATTTTTATGACATCTCCGCAGACTTCAGCTTCTCGTCACATCTTCTGTCCAATCAAATGCTCTCTAGAATCGAAAGCTCCGCCCCCATGCTATAAACACCACCTGGCCAAAGCGACCACCGTTGGCACATCACGGAGCAATATGTGTTGGAGTGTGTGTTCGGTTGCTCACACACTCCAGATTTATTCTGTTTTCCAACTGTACGTTGGTTAAGAATGAAATGGCTATAATTTATTCACACCTCTACTGTTGAATCCAACATATCATCAGTGCTCGGACTCACTTCCATGGTGCTGTCAGTCTGTGAGGTGAACTAAACGCTATTGGCTAATTGAAAAAGGGGAACAATTGAAACAATTGGATTGAAAAACAATCCAAAGCACATCATTCGGCCTTCAACTGTTATTTAGTGGATTGTTTGTTTGTGTATGACCTTTGCCTGGATTTTGATTAGGATTGTGGATTACCCTTTTGATAAATACTGCATTTGGATTCTCAGCCTTTGTCTCTCGAAACAGTTTGTGACACTGGGCTTTTTGAGCCAAAAAAAAAAAAAAAAATTGACTTACTTTGAATCGAATCTGCATAAAAACAAATGTTAGGCAAAATTAGCAGCTACACTCGTCACAATTGCTTATTTTAATATGAGACGTACCAATTAACCCACCAAAAAATATGTTGTAGTCTTGAACGTGCGTAAACAATTTTTGTTTTGAATCTACAAAGCTCCATCTCCTACTCTGCCACTGACTCGCCGTGTGGAACAGTCGTGTTGTGTAACAAGGGCAGGGGCTCTCAACATCCCACGTGTCCAAACGGCAACATATACGCCTGCGCTAAGCTATTTCATGTCACAATATGTAAAGGTACATTACAAAAATGCAAACGCAACTTTAAAAAATGTATAAATAATTAAACAATTTTTTCATCTGCATAACCACTTACTGTTACAGCATCATGACCACCAATGCAAGTTCGTGTCGCACCAGGCACCATGTTCAGCAGAAGACCGTTTTCAGCTTTACTGTGCACCGATACGAGATTCCCACCAAAAGTTTGACAGTACTTCTGAAAAGGCAGATTATTTTAATATCATCAATGAAAACTAATTATTTTAGTGTTTTGTAACATTTAAAAATGATACAATAAGTATTCCTCAGTATTACAGATGTGTTTTCCCACATGTGATCTGCACTGCAAAAAACAAAACTTGTTCTTAATCAGTGTTTTATGGAGCCCCTAAAGCGACCTTTGCAAAAAAAAATGTTAAATGTACAGACTTTCACCTACACCCAAGAAACGTTTCCAGTTTATGTATACTATAACCCATTAAATTTGTGCGCCACTACCATTTTACTATGAAGAAGACAAGAGTATGGATGCAGATGAATTAATAAAGCTATATGTGCTCAAAATGTGGCTTTCGTTAGGGCAGTAGTATAGTATATCTCTAATATCACGGCCTTATCTCCGCTTCATGAAATGGGCTGATGGCGCAATAGTATGCAATTGTCAGGACTCTGGTTTGATCACCAGCCTTTCTGCTGTGTTTGTCTTGTGTCTTGATTGTCAGTTCACCTCACTCTACCATCACAGCTGAATCCCATCCTAATCAGTGCTCTCACTCTCATTACTGATTTTCTCCACTACTTATGCTTCCCTCTTTCTTTAGTTCTCTGTCAGTGTGTCTTGGTTTCCGTCCGCTTCACCACTGTCCCCTTGCCTGAAAGTCTTGTTTTGGCTGCTTCTAAACCCTTAAAGCCTTGTCTGATTATTTAATCCTGTTTAGTTTATTTGCCTAGTTCCTGTTCCCTATCTCGACTCAGCTTCCTCAACCGTTTTTTGACACCCTGGACTATTGCCTTGGCTTCTTCCTTGAAACTGTTGGTCCGCTATTGGTTTTGACCTCAGCCTGTCCATTGGATTTCGCCTCTTTGGTGGCTCGGCTACTAATTATTTTATGTTTTGTATTGTTTTCCTTCAACCTTTTGGACAATAAATCCTATTCTCAATTGATCTGCTCTTGGGTTCCTGTTGTCTCTGTGCCTCCCTAACAGCATTTGGCTAATAAAAAGTGTTTATCACTGAATATTGTATCGTACTATGTCTACTCTTTAAACAGCATTATGGTAAAATGGAGCTCTATGGCGGTAGGCGATGGTGTTTTACTTCGGGCAGAACTGATGGAACGGCAGTTTCTTTCAGTTTTTCCCCTTCGTTTGGCCTAAAGCACTGTGTTCGTGGTCGTGGTCTTCCCGTAGTGACATGCAGGTGCATAAAAATGTCGCATAACTATAATAGTGCTGCCAGTAGCACATTACCTCTGCTGCCATCCAGTCAAGTGGTGCTGAGAAGAATTTGACACATTTCAGTCCAAATGCTGACCATCAGTGGGACAGCCATCAGCTGTATATATGATATTCAAGAAACAGTGAGTATTTACATCCACAATCATCGATTATGCTTAATAACCCAACAACATGTAGGTCACGTAAGCACTTTAAATAATAAACTGTGTAAGCTATTCAGAAAGTAACTTCTTGGAAAAGTATAAAATGTTTTCTTAGCTCTCACTATAATAACAATAATTATTTTAATAGTAACCTGCTGCCCCCTGAGAGAAGGTCATGAAGAGAAGCAGAAGTGTCAGCTTTTCCATGGTAAACCTGGGAATGAATCAGCAGCAAAGGTCAAATATGTCTGTGCATTATAAGAATATGTGCAAAGATACCAAGCATTAAAAAAAGCTATTTGAAATGCACAACAAAAAAATAAATGCACTTAATCAGTATCTTAGGCTTGTTTTATAATAGTAAAAAAAAAAAAAATTAAGTCTAATAAATATTAAGACAAATGTAAATTATACATTTTGTTTCACTGGCAGAATTTAATTCACTTAAAGAGATAGTTCAAATGAAAATTGTAAACTTAAATTGATCCTATATGCTTTTCTTTCTTTTGTGATACTACAACAAGAAGTCAGTGGGGTTCAATTTTAGTTTGAACCGCACAGACTTAGATTCTATGGACATTTAAACATTCCTCAAAATATCCTCTTGTGTTTCATGCAAGAAAGAAAATCAGACAGCTTTGGAACAGCATACAATCTCATTTTTATGCTATACACACGTGTAAAGATCCGCCAGAGTTACAAAACAAAATACACACCGTCTGAAAACAATTTCTACTGAAATCTAGGGATTTTAAAATACTTACATGTTTATTTCAGAATGTGCCGTCACAATTTCAGTAATGCTGCAGTGATGCTGTATGAAGCACTTTTCCCTACTTTTATACTAAATGTCATATGTAAATCACAAGTGGGATAATATTTCAATAAATATTGATCATTTTGACAAACTTCCTTTTACACTAGGTGTAATTTGAAATTCAAATTAGTTCCAAGAGAATTTGATGGTTATCAAAGTTATTGGATACCTTTATTTGGATTCTTCCATCAACGTGCTGTAGATAAATACTCGTAAGGAATGTAAGCATATGTTTGCTCAGTCCAATGGACTGGATCAGGTTTCTGTGGACAACAAACAATGGCTTTTGCCTTCATTTTGTAAGAATGGAAAAACTGTAAGGCAGATGCCAGAAAGTCTGGACTGAGAAACGACTTGGACTTTCCTGAGAATTAACATTCGAACACTATCTTGCATAAGTAACCATGCTATCCGAGACACCACACCGAGCAGTTCACTCCTCACCCTTACAGTCTCCTCATCACTCATCTCTTCTCTCCTCATGCTGGGATAACCTGAAATTCACCCACAAATATATATGGTTTAATGTGAACTATTATCATACAACACTCAGTGCTTAATTTGTAAAGTGGGAGGTCCCGGAGCGCAGAGGGGGGGTGGATCCGGCGACTCAAAACGGGGGTTGGAGGTAAAAAAAAAAAAAAAAAAAAAAAGCTATGTAGCTTTTGAAAAAAAAAAAAAACCTTTAAAACACTGTGTGTGTATCAGGGCATTGTTTATTTTAATTTCAGAACATGCACTACATGGGTGCAAATTCTGCAAAATGTAAAAAAAAAAATAAACGTTTTCACAAGCAGCAAGGGGGTCGCACACCGGACGAGAAGCGCCGCGGTGCGTCTAGGACAACTCGAGGTATCGCACATCAGACGCGCACTTTCTCAGTTTATGGCCAGCAATATTGTTATGTTTAAGGACATTATGGAATTAAGATAATGTCTGTATTATGTTATGATTGTACTGTACAATCCTTGCTAGTCTGCAGACTCTGAACACTTCACCTCAGAGTGTCCGTTAACTGAATGAATTGAGAATCTCACCTGAAAATCCGATAACATCAGCAATTTTCATTCAAGCAACTGATTTCTGTAAATGAATGTAAAACTAAATGTATATTGCATGCAGCACAGGGTGAAGTCAGACAGTTTTTACATTAACTACGCGGAATGGCGCTGCCGGTGTGTGTACATAGAGAATAATGTGTTCGAATTTTAAAGACGTGGCGCTGCGCTTCTCGTCCGGTGTGCGACTCACTTTACCCTGAAAATTCACCTCAAAAACGCATCGAAACTGCAAACACAAGATTTTTGTGGAACTTCAATGGGGAATAAAGACTAACAAGACAGATAACACCATTGAACCTTACACAAACAGTAATTATTAATTTGCCATAGTGACACAGGAGGTGCCGGATCCAATAAAAAAGGTTCCGGATCCAACGTCGGAGGTGCCGGAACGTGTTCCGGCTCAAATTAAGCCCTGACAACACTATACATGTTTGGTATCATTTAGAAAGTCTCAGTGCAACTGGTACAATGGTCTCATCCCCACAGAAGTAAACCTAAAGGTTTTAGGAATTTACAGATTTCTTGCTTACAGAAGGTGGGTCTTTCATGCAAAAGGCATTCTGCCCTAAAAAGGTGCAAACTCTGGAGACTGTGATTAATGTAAATTCCCATTGTTAGCACGTGTTTCTATTTGAGAGAGGTTTCTGTCTTGGGCTTATTATTTAAAGACATGTTTCAAGAGGCTCAGGGCAACTTGTAACGAGATCAGCCTGTCTTTCAGACACTCAGCATTATGTATACTATTTTCATGAGTAAGGGAATTCAGGTGGTTCGTGGGATTTTTTTTCTTTTTCGATTCATATAAAAAATAATTATAAATAAAAAATATATATAAATGATTCATATATAATTGTGTGCTGATGACACACATCTCTACCTCTCGTTCCAGCTGACATCTCTGGCTGGATGAAGGACCACCATCTTCAACTAAACCTTGCGAAGACAGCTACTTGTGGTCCCGGCCAACCCAACACTACACCACAACTTCTCCATTCAGCTAGGCTCATCATCCATAACTCCATCAAGGTCAGCCAGGAACCTTGGGGTTGTGATCGATGATCAATTGAACTTCATCAGGCCCTTCCTATCAGAGCATGCTACTCAACTCCTTGTCCAAGCGCTTGATCTATCCAGACTGGACTATTGTAATGCTCTCCTGGAAGATCTTCCAGCTTGCTCTGTCAAACCTCTGCAACTGATCCAGATGCTGCAGCTAGAGTGTGTTTATCGAGCCGAAGAGAGCACGTCACTCCTCTCCTCACAAAACTGCACTGGTTGTCAGTTGCCGCTCGCATCAAATTTAGGTCACTGACTTTTGCCTACAGAACAACCACTGGCTCTGCTCCCTTTTACCTAAACTCATTATTTCAGTGTCATCCAGAAACTTGCGCTCTGCAAGTGAACGCCGTATTGTAGTACCATCTCAAAGAGACTCAAAATCTCTTTCTCTGACCTTTTTCTGGTCTGTTCCATGCTGGTGGAATGATCTAACTCAATCAGAGCGGCTGAGTCCGTGGCCATTTTCAAGAAACGGCTGAAGAAGCATCTTTTTCGGCAACACTTGATCCATTAATACTAACACGTTGTCTTCTATTTTATATCTATTATCTTAAAAAAAAAAAAAAAAACCCATTCATTTTCACAGGAGTTCTGTGGACATTGGACAGTAAGTGGGTTTTTTGCATTCCTAGTCTTTGCCCTCTCTGTATGTTTTTGGTGGTCATGTGACACAGCTCTCTGTGAAGTTTCGGGCCCCTAGGACCTCTAGGGGCCGACTGAGGTCCAGTGACACTTGCAACTTATTCCATTCGAGGTACTTCGTGGACGGTGGTCCGATTGCCCCGAAATTGACATATGTCTCGTCACGGGCCCCTGGGACGGTGTCCAGAGTTCCGTGTCCCTTTGACCTTTTTTGGCCCTAAAAGACCCCTTGACCTGGAAGCGCCTTTGAAGTTTCAATCGAATAAGTTGCACATGGGCAGTCGGAAAGACAGGGCTCAAAAGGTCGCAGCGATTCCACATTTGACATTGTGGTAGTCCAGGGGCCCCCTGTGCTAGATCCCGGATTGCAGGGTTCTAAATCGGTTCCAAGTATGTATTTTTGCCGTACACAATTCTCCTCACTTTGGTTTAGTTTGAGGGCCTTTCAAGAGGGCCTGTCTGCCATTGAGTCCAAGAGGCCTGTGTGAAAGATTTAAACAAACTAAACAAAAAAATGTCCCCTGTGTTCTAGAGACTTGTCCTCCTATTATGTCATTCAGGGGCCCGAGGACTACCGGCACACAGAGTTTGGGGCCCGTGGGACCCCCGGAGGCCGAACAGGGGCCACTGTCACGTGCAACTTACACCATTTATTTTCATAGGTGTTTCGTGGACATTGGTCTGATCAGCTCGAAATTGACATATATGTCTCGTCACTGGCCCCAGGGATGGTGTCCAGGGTTCTGTGTCCCTTTGACCTTTTTTGGCCTAATTGGTCACCAACAGCCTATGTGGAATAGGTGGCAAGTGGGACATCTAGAAAACAGGGGCCAAAAGGGGTCAAAAGTCTGAGGGACTCCAAATTTGACATTGTGGTAGTTCAGGGGCCCACAGTTCTAGATCCTGGATTTCATGGTTCTAGATCTGTTCTAAGTATGTTTTTTTAGCAAAACGGCTTGAAAGAAAGGCCAGATTTTCCCGAAACTGTCATATGCGTGTCGTCACGGGCCCCTGGGACGGTGTCCAGAGTTCTGTCTCCCTTTGACCTTTTTTTCATGCTAATTGGCCACCAACGGCCTATGTGTAATAGGTGGCAAGTGGGACATCTAGAAAACATGGGCCAAAAGGTCACAGGACCTCGAGATTCAGCACGGGCGACAGTTACAGGCCCCCGAATCGGGCCCTTGATTTTCGTGGCCTAACTGCTGCACTAACCATAACAGACACATGTTCCCATAGAGATCAATGTAAGACAGAGAGATGTATTAAAAATAGCAAAAAATAATTCTTGGCATCTCTCGACCTAGCCTGCTCGCATTTTTGCAGAGGGCCGCGTGACGCAACTTTTACTAAAGTTTGGGGCAGAGCGGGGGCCACTGACACATGCAACTTATCCCATTGATTTTCATAGATGTTTGGTGTACATCCCACGGTCCCAATGGCTCCGATTTGAAATCTGTAGCCCCTCAGGGTCCTCCTAGACGGTACGCAAAGACGGAGATCCGTAGTACCCTGTTAAGTGCTTAATTAGCTGAGCTGGGGATGTTCTGGGCTGATAATTTTCCTTGAATATTTTTGCCAGTTTTTTTTCCAAATACTTGCCCAACTCCGAGGGGTGCAGGCCTTGAACATGTGGTGTGTGAGGGCGTAACGGACGATCGTTCGACGCCCCGAGGCTTTTGCACAAAAAAGAAAGCTGATTTGACCAACTGAAACAGGAAGCGCCCATGTGCAACTTATTTAACATGACCCAGATAGGCTTTCTGGGGACAATGCATTTTTATGCATATTCATCATTTTTATGAGCTGACATGTACATGAAACAGTTATATGGTGTTTCCTGTGGACAACGAACAAACAAACTAAATGAATGCTCTGCTAGTTTTAACTGGAGATGTTTATTTATTTGTATTGGTAAATCCGTGCTGCGAGATGTTTCAAAAGTGGTGGGGACATGTCCCACCCGCAAATTACCCCGATGGCTGTAAGCTAGACAGCTATCTATATTTACATTAGAAACCTTAGTTATAAGTTATGGCTGAAGTTTTTGTTACCTGCTTCAGTATGCTAAACTACTGCTCACTGTTTCTGCCTTAAATTAATACATTGTTAACAAAGCAGTTCCTGTGATGTTATTGTTAACCCTAACGTTCTCCCTAATATGTGCTGATCTTAAATGAAGGCAAAAGGAATTGTTTGTTTCCCACAGAAACCTGATCCAGTTCAAGCTCACATGGCATGGAAAGGATGTTGACATCCTGTTTGCCTTCTC